GCTGCAAGTCAAAGTCCTGCTAAGTACAAATACACAAGTATTAGCATCAAAATATACTTATAGTTCCAAAAGGAAACGCACTCATTATGCAGGATGGTACAGTTTACATTAATGTAAATTACATTCTTGCATTATAATTATTGATGCTTTATTGTGAACGTCACATCTAATGTTGTCACTGGTAAAGGCATTGCTAATGTTAACGACCTTATGCGCCTTTAATTTGAAGTATTTTACATACTGCTGGGTACCTTGACAATTTCCCACTGGGGTCTTTTTTATTACACTATATTTTGTTTGTTTTTGATTAATATCATTCTTAAAAGCAACAAGTAACCAACAAGTTATCAAATATATTTAGTGAGTACTAAGTGCAAATGAAAATATTCAAGAAAAGTACAGATACCTCAAAATTGTGCTTACTGTAAGTACAGCATTTGAGTAAATTTAGTTACTTTCTACTACTGCTATTTTTAATGTGTAACTATACATACAACCATCAGTTAAATTTATCTTAGCAATGGGGAAACACACATGGAAAAATTCAGGGCCAAAAATACTACAGCTAAAATATTATGTGTATATCAGAATCAGAATCAGAAGTGTACTCTGTTTACATGTCTTATTTGATGTTATGATTCCGTTTTTAATGTTTCTGTGTGTGTACTCGGAGCATTAGTGAGTAAGTGCCTGTGGAGTTGGTGTGTGTGTGGGGGGGGCATGCACAGGCACGCCTATTAATAGATGAATAATGACTCCTTCTGTTGTGTGGTTATTTCCATTATTTTAAGTGGGTACAAAAGCAATACATAAATAATGTTTCTCCCACACAGCTGACATGCTGTATCTGCCTTATGTTTCTTTACCTTTGTCTCTATCCCAATACAACCACAAACCCATTGCTCCAGTAATAAGAGCAGAGTGGAAATGCGTTGTTAAAAAAAAATAGAGAAAAATTGTTAAAAAACTGAGGACACACTTCACCTCTAGCTGAGGGTCAGATCTTCTTCTGGCAGGTTAAAGGTTGAGAGTCCAATCACATCATTGGTTCTGTGAGAGCTCGACAGGATGTGATAGGGATAGAGGAGAAAACCTTTCTCACAATCATTATCTTCAACTTCTCCAGAGACACAAACATCTTTTGACCCAGGATGAGTTCTGTGTTTGCTAGTCTCCCCTTATCTTTGCCTGTGTGAGTGTCTGTCAGCAAGAGAAAGGAGTTATTGTTCTCTATTGTACAACATAATGTGCTCCTTCTGTCTGTCCTCTCAGGCAGTATCTGCAGCAGGTTTGCATCTCGTTCAAAGTTGAACTGTGTGTGTGTGTGTGTATGTGTGTGTGGGTGTGGGGGGTGGGGGGTTATAAAAGAAGGATAATATGTTCACTTGGCTGTTCTTTGGTGTCACCAATTTGGACTTTGTTATCCATGCAAGCAAGTACAGAAATGAATAAACTCCAGGCTTTTATGCTTTTATGCACAAAACACATGCAAGGACAAG